TAACATTTGAATAAATAACTCTCTCTGCCTCTCCTGTAAAGGACTTGCTCACCTGGTGACTTTGAGGCCACAAGGAGGCATTGCATAGATTGTCAATGGGGATGTGAAAAGCTGTTGTCAAAATAGAAGGTGGTGTTTTCTATTTTGGGCATGGTAGCATGGGTGATGGGTGACCGTATACACAGTCCAATGTTTTTCTCAGTGCTCTCTCACATTTGTCCTCTGTGTAAGCTGGTGTCTTTTTGGCTTCTCTCTACTCATCAGTCATTCCTCTGCCTTTGTTAGAAGTATTGGCATGCCACATTCTTCCAGGTGGCCAGGAGTTGGGCTAATGTTAAAGATTAATGGGCTTAAAATAATTTCAGACTTGTTTTAATTTGGATGTAGATTGAACTGCAATGTGCACTGGGCTGTTTATATAAAGGATTCCTTGCCAATAATACTAAAGTATGTGAGTCAGAGATGAAACTTACTTATCTAAGAACACACTGTTTTAAAGTACCTGGAGGAACACCAGTTGTATCCAAAAGAATAGTGACAATATAAGCAGAAAGTGGTCTTACTTCAGTTGATGTACAAACACTTTGTCTCTAAGGGAGGACCCTTCAGTTGACACTTCAGCTTTCAAAGGATGCTCTAGAGTAGGGTAAGAACCAATTCCCTGCTTTGCATCTATACCTGTGGGGCCAGAACAACCTTGAGTTTTGACAACTTCTCAGGAAGATATTAGAAATGTCCAATTGCCTTGTCAAATCCTCTTGGCCTGGGCTTTTCTTATAGAATAGGTCTGAGAGTTGATTAATTCAAGGCTCTCAGGAAACAAAGGGTATTGTTTATTCATGTAAAAGAATAAGTTTGCAAGGGAGGACACATAGTCAGGTAGAACTTACATTGTATATGCATAAACCATCAATTCTATAGAATTTATACCTGGTTGCTTTTCTGCACAGAGCTATATTTCTCTTCCTTGAGAGTAATAGAACTATTTCTATACAAAAACAAACTTCTTTTTCCTCCATAGAAACTTTCTCAAATCTTATGCTGATTTCAGACTGCTCTTTCTCCTCAGGCTGCTCAGAAGAGGATGTTCTTTGGTCTTTGTCAGATAGTCTGGTTCTGTTCTTTTTGAGTGTGTAGATAGTTTGCTAAAAATAAAGTGACGATAATACCAATAAACAGCTATGGTTAGCTGGCACTTACCTGGTGAGCTAAGTGCTTCACTTACATTATCTAATTTAATTCTCCCAAACAACTGAGATAGGTATTGTTATTAGTATTATCATCTTCTCTTTTAAATAAATGTAGACAGTCTGGGACTTAGTCTGATGAAGCAGCTTTCCAAGGCTGCAGTCTGCCTCCATGTAACTTCTTTTTCTTCAAGAGGGCATTTTGAAAACTCCCCAAGACAACTTAAAAACAACCTCACAATTTTAAGTCATGGACTGAGTCCCTCAGGGCTTGGCCACTTCTGTCTCTCCTGGGGTCTCTGTGCTTTCTTTTGCTCCCTGCTGCCCCTCCCTGGCAGCACACCTGGGGCAGGTGTGCCCGCTACCGTGTACCCCAGGCCTTAGAAAAACGTGGCAATAATTCCTCATTCAGTTTCAGTTTTACAGCATTTGGCAGGAGCTCTCAGCCTGAGGACTTTGTCATCTGCAGTCTGTTCTTTGGAGTGTGGATGGGGGAAAATGCCAAAGGCCCTGGGGAGGAAGGAGCTGTGTTTGGGCCTGTGGGTCTGGCTAAGGGCTGGGAGGCAGTGCCCATGTGTCCACAGGGAGACAATGGGCACACTCAGTAAGAATGTAGCCCTTGGGACCCACTGAACCCAGAGATCAGATATATCCCCTGAAACTAAGCTTTGGGCTTGCCCTTTTACTCATACATTTAGCTCTGTCCCCAGTAACCTTAGGCAGGACTTTGTGCATGCTCTAGAAGAAAGGCTTTCATGCAGGCCAGTTCTCTGCAGTCTGCTTGACCACAGTGTCCTGCTCCAGCATGCAGCACTTGGCCAGAGACATAGTCTTGATTGCTGACTTGGGGCACAGTCAACTTGCAGAGAGAGTCTCAGCCCTGGGAACATAGGTGCTTTGGAGTGAGTCAGCATGGCTGCCCAGAGGTGATTATTAACTCAGGAGGAACAGCAGCCAGCTAGGCCTCATTAAAATACTGCCCTGGTGAGGTATCTCTCTAGGAAATATCCCCTGTTGGCTGACAAAATCTTTAGGGTGCATCTAAGTTTCCAGCAGACCTGCCCACCCAAGCCTGTGGAGGTTGCTAGAGGTGCTCTGGCCTAGGAGGAAGCACCTGCCAGGTATTGCTGACACGGCTGAGACCAATCATTGCCACAGCCAATCTGGATCTGGCCTTTACCATGTGCCAGGCACATGACTGCCTCACTGGGGCCCTTCAGTGTGGACATTGTTAGCCCCATTGTGTAGGGAGGACTCAGCAAGCTAAGTAACATGCCTAGCACATAACTGGCTGACCAAGACCTGTACCCTGGTTTGTCCAGATGTCTTTCCATTCCATTATTAGGCCTTCTTAGAAGACAGCACTGACCCAATATTGATCCTGGGTGAACATCTGGGGCAACCTCATAACTGTGAGGTGAAGTAGGGACAGAACATGGTTCTGGAATTGAAGCACTGAGCAGAACCTCCTTGCAGGGTTGGTTGAGAATAGTGCTTTGTTTTGATAGCAGGCATCCTACTGGTAGGAAAAAGGGCACTCCATCTTGTCCTACCTGATTTCTGTGGACAAGCCCATGGTGAAACAACTTGTCTTGAGGAAATTACAGTGTTTGGTACCTATACAAGAGCAGAAGCCTTTCTGTAGCTTTTCTGCCTTGGTGATAACTTCTCACCTAGGCTGTCAGGTTAGTCTTTACACTGTCTTCTTCTACACCTCCCTGGTCAATTTTTTTTTAATTGTTTTATTATTCATATGTGCATACAAGGCTTGGGTCATGTCTCCCCCCTGCCCCCACCCCCTCCCTTACCACCCACTCTGCCCCCTCCCTCACCCCCCATCCCCTCAATACCCAGCAGAAACTATTTTGCCCTTATCTCTAATTTTGTTGTAGAGAGAGTATAAGCAATAATAGGAAGGAACAAGGGTTTTTGCTGGTTGAGATAAGGATAGCTATACAGGGCATTGACTCACATTGATTTCCTGTGCGTGGGTGTTACCTTCCAGGTTAATTCTTTTTGATCTAACCTTTTCTCTAGTTCCTGGTCCCCTTTTCCTATTGGCCTCAGTTGCTTTTAAGGTATCTGCTTTAGTTTCTCTGCATTAAGGGCAACAAATGCTAGCTAATTTTTTAGGTGTCTTACCTATCCTCACCCCTCCCTTGTGTGCTCTTGCTTTTATCATGTGCTCAAAGTCCAATCCCCTTGTTGTGTTTGCACTTGATCTAATGTCCACATATGAGGGAGAACATACGATTTTTGGTCTCTTGGGCCAGGCTAACCTCACTCAGAATGATGTTCTCCAATTCCATCCCTCCCTGGTCAATTTGTATGTGATTACTGCCTAGCCTTAATTCCAATATGTCCTTGATCCCAAGAGGCACATTTTTTCACACATTAATAATGTTTGCAATTTGTGCACATCTTGCCATTGAGATCTACATTTAATGTGGTGTGATTGTTGAAATTGATGTTGCATTTTTACAATTGATGGAGAATAAGAATTGAGGAAATATGAGAATTCATGTCTATTCAATCCATCAGTCACCTACCATAAATGTCAGGCATTATACTAGATGCTGGAAATGTAGATATAACTAGTATGCAATCATTGAGGTGACAGTCTAGAGTGGGGAGATGGACTAGCCAAATCAACAGCTTGAGTTCACTGTGGAAAAGCTCTGAATTTGGAGAAGGATCAGAGGAAGGAGGCAGGGGATGCTGGGACTGCTTTGAGGGGTTGCATCATGAGGGAGGCTAGGGTACAGAGGCTTAGGAGGGAGTTGGGGATGGGTTGGGGAATGGTGTGGTAGACAAATTGAGTACTTGAAGTAATCGTGAGGCACCAGAAACATGTTTGGGAGTATCAGAGGGTTCACTGTGGCCAGAGTGGAGGGTGTATGTGGAGGCATGGTTGAAAATGACACTGTGGAGATAGATGGGGCAGATCTGGAGGACTGGTGCACCATGCAAATTAGTTTAATCTCTGCCTTTGGTCCAAGATGAATCATTTAGGAGTTTTAAGCAAGGGAATCTGCCCTTATGTGTATTTAAAAACTTCATAGAGAAGAGGACAGGGGGGTGGGATGGGAGGAGGTGGGTAAGGTGACAGCCATTAGAAGAGAAAGAGGAGTTACTCTGAAGAAAGCAAAAAAGCCTGTTTTCATTTACTATTGCCATATAAATGAACCTGATGCTGCAAGTTTAAAAGAGATCACCCAGTGGAACAGCGAGGCATCCAGCAATTGAACCTGCAGACATAAGGGGCTTTGCACTGTCCTTAACCCCATGATGTGTGTCCTTGTCTTAAGGACAGCCACATGGTCAGTAGGCAGGCTGATCTATAATGCTTGGGAAAGCTAGAACCAGAAGAAAAGCTTACCATTTGTCTCTGCTTGGTAAAGAAGTGTCGTATCAACCTATAGTAGTGACATTACAACTAACGCTTGCCAAATTAGTTTGCTGATCAGAATTTTATACAGTTGGATGGGAGTGTGTGCCAGCACTTGGGAAAAACATGGGATGATGAGACCATCCCAGGAAAACCACAGTGGATGTATTCAGATGTTAAGTGTTTAGAGTCATAAGAAAGAAGCAGGTAAGTCATTGTAGCTGTACACAAGGGGTAACATAGCAAACACATCATTGGTGCTGATACCTGATGGGTGTACCTGTGAGAGACACTCTGGAGACAGACGTGGGGCTAGGAAGTAAAAGGAGCTGTTCCACTGTGTGGGAAACTGGAAAGGAGTAGGGGATGACTTGATATTATGACCCAAGACTTACGGTTTTCTTCCCTCCTGCTTTTCTGAACAGGTGCAGTGTCATACTTACACAGGGTACTGTTGGTGTGTCACCCCAGATGGGAAGCCAATCAGTGGCTCTTCTGTGCAGAATAAAACTCCTGTATGTTCAGGTACCGTCAGGAGGGGCGGGAAGAATGAAAACAGTTGGAGAGCGTCCCCTTGGTCGATCTGTACATCTGGTGGGGGAACCTTTGAAAGGTTGCTGGTGGCCTGTGTCTGGGTCAGGAAGATTCCACTCTACCATGCTTACTCAGTAGTCAGCCAGGTGAGGAGGGTCCATATATGCCTGTGTAGATATGTTTTTAATTTTCAGTTTTCTTTTCTGGTTCAATGCTATTTTCCTTTCTGGTTCAATGCTATTTTCCTAAGCATTGGCTTAAACTCTTACAACTGGGATGGCATATAAGTTTTTAGCTTGAGTGCAAACTAATTGTTAGTGCTCCTTGAAATGCATTATTGGGGTGGATTCTGAGACTGTGTGAGAGTTCAACATCAAAGGCTGCAGTGATCAATTACTGATGTCTGTCATGGGCACAGGACAGGAGAGTGGTGGCTTCCATGCTATAGATTTTGAATGATGTAATATAGAACAATGGAAAAGTTTTGTAACAATGACTCTTAAATTTGGCTGCTCATAGCCATTTCTAGGGAATTAAAAAGAAGCCAGATATTGAGGCTCCTCCTTGTATATTATGATCCAGTAGATCTGGAATAAGACCAGAAGTCCTTATTTTTACAAAGCTTTTGAGGTAGTTCTTATCTAAAGTTAGGAAACCACTGCTGGATAGTGATCTGTTGGGTTAATCTGTAGCAAAATTAAGTCTTTTCTATTCTCAACTTTATCAGCATAGAGAAATTTTACTATTAGGTCAGTTTTATGAGATTGTGGATTCTGAATATACACAAGCCCCACACCTCCCATTTCCATTTTTTGGTCAGGACCCATGAGTCACTCCCTTAAATTTACTGTGTAGCTCAGCCTACTTAAAAAAGCCTGTCTCACCCATCAGATCTGTGTGTATATATAGGCTTTTATTTATTTACTTATTTTTAATTTTAAGTACAAAGTACAAAATGTTATGCTAATACCTAGGGGAAATTCCAAAGACCTGTAGTCCTACTATCATTTTCCTTATTTTTAAATTTTTCTACTAGCCTTTCTATATAAAGGGGAAAGTAAGTGGAAAGAGCAGTAAGAATGTGTGTTAAGAAACCAAAATTTCCAGGCCAAAAGGGAAGTTTACTTTATTTGTGGTCTACATGGTAACTGGAAACCTTAATTGGGATTGGAGTGGGGAGGGGCAGGAATTAGCGCTCGTTACAAATGAACTGGAAAGTTTCATTTAAAGCAAACAAATGCACTAGAAACATGCTAATGCAGGGTAATAGAGTGGAATTCTCCAAAAACTAATATACACAAAAGAGTTATGATATGGATTAGAAAGATACAGATTCTCTCTTTTCTCTTGGTAGGACTTCCACAGATACCTTTCTGCAGATGAATGCTTTTGCCCTGTTTGTATGAGGTTAGGATTCATGGGGAAGACAAGTGACATAGAGTTAGGCCTGGAGGATGGGTGCATGTGACATCCCAGTATATGCAGGGCAAATGTTTGGTCAAACACACATGCTGCCTCCTCCTTGAGGAATAGGCTGTGTCTAGAAAATTGTTTCCATGCCTCAGACTATTTTGGCCCACTCAGTACAATTGGGCCAACAATTTTCTACTTAATGCAGATGGAAAATCACTGATTTCCTGCCCTAACCAGCAAGGGATGTCAATCATTGCATTTGCAGTAAGAAGGGGTTTCTTTTCAGTTGGCCCTGATGACTGGAGATGGGTCAAAACATGGCGAGAATTGGGGGCCCTCAGGAGATGTGGGTGAGAGGGGCAATAGTGGAATGTTCAACAGAGGAGGTATGTGGATGTGGAATTTTATAAAAACCTGGTCAAGACCATTGCTAGGGAACCTGGAAATCATAGTTCATCTCAAAGCTGTGCTGGGATATCAGTGACATTGATGTTAAACAAACCCCACTCGACATGCATGTATGTACTAACTTTGTATATAATATCCGTGGATGTGTATACAATACTTATATACACGGCCATATGCTCATCACATTAGGCTTTGCCAGCTCTTTGAAAGAAACCAACCACAGTGCATTCTGAATGTCTATGTTTTTGTTTCCTTTCTCACCCAAGGTTCAGTCACCGACAAGCCCTTGAGCCAGGGTAACTCAGGAAGGAAAGGTGAGTGGAGTTTTATGCTTTATCTAAATGTTTTCTTCTACAGTCAGTCCAAGCAGGGGTTCTTATACAAGATGGAAGGAGCCTGGGGTGAAAGTTAAAAGTGCCCACAGAAAGTCATCTCCATTCTTATTCCCTGTTTCCTCTCAGAAGCACCAGAGGTAAGTAAGGCTCATATGGTAGTGACAACCAGGCTTCCAGGATTTCTGAAGGAGGGTGAGTGTGGAGCACAGAGCTGGCTGAGCCCTTCATGTGAGCACTGAGAATCTTGGTTCCCTAAGGAATTAGGAGGATCATCTGCCAGTGTAGCCCACATTCCACCAGAGAGGATGGCAAAGGCAGGGTCCCACCTCCACCCCTGGCTCTCTTGCTTTGTACACTCATTTGAGTATTTTTTCCCTATGGATTCTCTGTAATAATATACTCTAGCACATCTGGATTCTTTTCATGAAGACTGGGCTGGCTTCATGGACATGTGGCCTGTGAAGTTTTATCTTGTTTTGTTTTCTGAAATTCTGAATCATTTTGCCTTGACTCTAAGGGGACAATGAGGTCTGCTCACAAGCAGAGAAGATATGCATAAAGTGAGTGTCTGCTGGCAAGCCTTGTTCCCCCAACAGCACGTGGTTTGGATAGCACATTTAAGGTTTTAATTTTTCTTTATCTAGAATACTAAATAGCAAAGTAAAACCCACCATGACAAGTCAAGAGAGAGAGACTGTGTAAGAGTAGATAAAACTTTCTAGTTTAGTGCTTTTAATGACAGTTTTCCTACTTTTGTGTACAAAGGGCCCCAAATTTTCATTTCATACTGGGCTCCACTAGAGATATAGCTGGTGTTTGTCTGAGTGCTGTTTAATGGACCAGTCAGCATGAGGAGCAGGTCCCTGGAATAGGCTCTTCCAGTGTGGAAGATAGTCTAAGGCCTAAGGTTCACTGCTCCTGGCTTGCAAGACAGCATACAGAGAGCAGTGGCAGACTGGAAATCAGGTATCCATTTCACTGTACAGGTAAGCACTACAAAGCTCCCATTTCAGGCTGAATTTGAGTCTTCCCACCTGCACCCAGGCCTTGAGAACATGCTCATGAGAATCCATGTGGAGAGTTGGAACTGCTGAGAGTCAGCATGAAGTCACAGTTTCATCCCCTTCCACCACACACACACACACAGGGCAGGCCCTGGACCCTACTTCAGGTGCTTATGCCATGGGGATAGGAAGAAGAAGCAAAGCCATCCCTTCTGAGTACAGGAGTTCAGCATCTAGAGAACCTGTTGCCCTAAAATGCAGGTGCTCCAAGAAGATGTGGAAGTGCAAACGATGATCCCACCACCCATGGGAAACATGGACTCACAGACCAGATGGGCCATGCGCTTCCGCTGGGCAGGAATGTGTAAGTGGTAAAAAGAAGGATCTGCCTTTCCAGGTCTTTCCAGAGCAGGGGAAACAGCTGTGGTACTGGTTGCTCCCTCCTAGGTGGGAAAGTGGGGAGAGGAGCTGAAAGACCTGAAGTTACCAGCACTGTCAGTGGTGTGTGTCTGTAGGACATGGAAATGGAGCTGCTTTCAGTTTTGCTTGTAGCAGCCGAAATCTTCAAGAACATGAGCAGAGGTTATCATGGCAGGGAGAAAACTGATAATCACTCAAATCTGACTGCTCAGATTTTCCCTACCAAAGGGAACCAAGTGTATAATGCTGATAAAGTCTGAGCACCAAGAGAAGCCATCGGTGGAATTTGGGTTCCTAACCTGGACAGAGAAGTGCTTTCTGTGTTGCTGTGGCTTTGCGCCCTGTGGGTAACAATAAGAGTGGCCTGTGGGCATCCTGGGCTCTCATTGACCCTGAGGGAAGAGGGCAAGTGGGCTGTGGATAACATTTACAGAAAACAGCAGTGGGCACCCTTTGTTCCCTTAGCTCTGGGATCAGCCACCAGAGCCAAAAAAGGGCAAAAGAGCAACTTCTGTGGGGTGATGCAGGGAATGGGCTTAAACCTGAAGTCTCTTCTCAGAGGGAAAAGTTGCCGTCAGCTCCCCACTCTTTGCTTCCGTTCCCCAGATGGTTTCTTTCCTCCTGTGTGGTTTTGTGGAAGCTTCTTTGGGGCAAAGATCAGGACAAGGCCTGGAGGTGGGGTGGTGCTAGGGCTGGCTCCCCCTTGGAAGACTTGAACTCTGCCCTATGGTCTCTCTTTCCTTCTACTTGGAGGATCAAATTAGGCACTGGATCCTCCTTTCTTTGTATGCCGTGGGCATTCAGTGAAGAGCATGTTTAGGCCACCTGTAGGAAGGGCCACCTGAAGCCACACCTGTCCAGGAAGCTGGAGTTTGAATGGAGACAGGGTGCGCGAGAGGGCATTTGTAATATCCTGTGTCGACCCGCCAAGGTTCCTCTTTCAGCTGCACTTAAGAATGGAATGTGCTCTGCAGGGCAGCAGGTGGGAAGACACAAAGGCCCCTTGTCTGAGCTCATGCCCGCACGTGGCGTGGCTTCCCCCCAAAGGCATCTCCCCAGAGTCAGGACTTGCAGCCCTGAGGCCTGCCACAAAACGAGGCTGGCCAGGCCCCTGTGCAGGGTGAGGGGTTTGGCCGGAAAGGAGGTGAGGCCAGAGGTCTGCGGGTGCAAGGGGTAGGAGTATAGGGCAAAGACAGGCACCCAACCTTTTCCTTCACCACCCGCTTGCCTTTTTGAATATGCCCCACAGATGGGGCTGGGAGGGATCGGCCTCTCTGCCTGGAAGGAATGAAAAGATGTATTGTGTGACCACGAAGAGTCTGGTTGCTAGCCAGGAATTAGTCCTCTGAAGGAGAGGAGGAGAAAGGCAGAGTGCAAGGAGCTGGGGGTGGAGGCCCAGGAGATAGCAGGAGGGAGGGAGGGAGAGAGGGAGGCCAGGTGGGAGCAGGTCGTAGCCACTTGGCCTGGAGCGGGAGGCCTGGGTTGCCGTCGTTCCTGGGTCCACAGGTGTGGGGCCTGAGGGAAGAAGTGAGGGAGGAGGGGTACTGTTATCTTCCTCAGATGCACGTGCTCCAGAAGGGGAGGAGGGTCAGAACTTCAGACTATTTACTTAATCCCTTGGAATGTCTTTTCCTCTCTCTGTTCTTTGGGGCCCTTGTGTTTAACGGACTCCTTTATGGGCACATGTGTGGTAATTAACGCGTGCGGTGTAGGTCCCTGGCCATGTGTTTGAGTTTCAAATATCCATTGATCCTTGGCAATCCCATCCTGGTCACCCCCTCCCCTTCTTCTCTGGTTCTAGCCCTTGAAGAGAGATGGAAGGGGTGTGTGTGTGTGTGCACGTTGGGGGTGGTGCACATGTGCAGGGCACTCACATGTGTTTTATTGATGCCACGGAGGAATAGCTGAAGGGGGGGAGAGGACCCCAGGCAGCCCCTTTAGCTCTGACATGATGCTGCTAAAACAGCTGAAGGCTGCAGGAGTTGAGACTAATTTTAGGTTTTCACTGAACTAGTCGGAAGGAAAGTGGCTGGGAAGCAAATTGTGTTTAGAGGTTATTGACGTAGCCTGAGCAGCTTCGCCTTGGCTGTGCCAAGGCCTGTGGATTTTCCTAAGTTGCCTCTTTTTGGGGTCTTGAGCCCAAGGAGACTGCATGAACTTCCAGGATAACTGCTCTGTCATATGTTCTCCCTCCTCTTCCTCTTCTTCCATATCTGCTTCTGTTGCTTTTGAGTGCAGGAGGGAAGTTCTCAGCTTCCTAGGGGGCTGGGGTTGGGGTGGTGATGAAGAATGATAAATGAGAGCACCTAGGAGCACACTTATAAAATGATTGTAGCAGATCTTTGGTAGCTTTTTCCTTTTCCTTCCAAGTACCCAGAATTACAGAGGCCCTGGTGCTGATGCCGTGATAGACAAGTGAAGGTTATTAGAGGTTTTCTGCAAATTTGCTTGTTTTCCTGTAAGAAAATGGGTAGTCTGTTGTTTAAAGAAAGTGGGAGAAAAATAAAAGCATGAACAAGCTCTGCTTAAATTTTTATGCATGGGCTTCTTTCTGTTTTGGTCAATCCAGTCTTGGAGAAGATCATAACTTTTAAAATTCAACCTACCTTAATTGGCATAGTTAAAAAGCAAAACAAAACAAAACCCAAATCCCCTACTGACTGCTTTGGAGTATGTGTTCCAAGTAAAGAGTGAGTCACATTTATTTCCCCAAGGTCCCTGTCTGTGCCTCTATTTTTAGATTCTCTCATGGAGTCTGGTCACAGATTGGTGCCAACTTGGAACACTTGTCCCTAAAGGGATGGATCAGGCAGCACTTAGGCGTGTGCTTGGGACCTGGGTGATGGCGGCAGGCATCCTCGATTAAGGAAACTGTGGTTTCCATCCAGCCTCTGCCTCATGGGGGGTTAGTACACCTGAAGGAGGTGTGCTCCAGTACCGAGTCTGGCCGTCCAGAGACATTCCACACATGAAGCATCACCCCTGCTCACATGACTTTACCTGGGGCTCGATTTGAGTGGAGATGGGCAGCTGATGGCCTCTGTTCACGTTACTTTTCCCTCATGGAGCATTTGCTCTGATACCATTCCGCTGAAACAGGACTGTGATTGAACAGCTCCAAGCACACAGGAGACAGCTCTTTGGCTGTCTGTGTACACATTGCTGCTGGGTTCTGGTATTTGCACCACCTTGAAAAAGCCGGGCATATTTGTATACCAGTTTTGCAGGGAGTGTGTGAGTGCTTATGCATGTGTGATGTCGCCCTCCTTCCCATAGTTACCTGCTCCTCCAGCTTGGTTCCCTCCCCAGTCCCCTTATTCCAGATCTCCCTGAAGCGTGAAGAGTACTAGACCAAGAATCTGAATTCCTGCAATATCTGCCTCTCCAAGGACTGCAGAGGAAATGGGATTTAGGGATCTGGAAAGCCCTTGAGTCATAGGTTTATTTGAGGCCTTGGTGGTATTAGTAACCATTGGTATTTTATACTTAGTTCTTTTATTGAATAAATATTTATTCAGAGCTTACTACGTGTCATGCTTTTTATAGTCACTAAGG